ATTAAGTTATCATTTGAGATAACTACAGTGACAAGGGTCCTCATACATATTTTCCATCTCTATCACTTCTCTAAAATGTGAAAGTTGTGGGGACTGGGTCATGCAACTTATTTTTGTAACATGTTAAAAGAGTAAATTTGTACCCAGATGTTTCATGGTGAGTGAAACAGGCCAGATTCCAGTTTGCTGACTGAGACAAGGCCATTGTGGAGGAAAGGGAGCCTTATTTTGAGTGGCGTTCACAGCCCTTCCACTGGATTTCACTATTGTTGACTGATTTTACATGGAAGTCACTCAGGGGTTTACACTGCTGAGTAGCAGTGCAAACTCCTAAATAAGATAGAGCAGATTTATACTGTTTCCCAAACAAATGGTATCGTAAGTGCTATAAATAGTACAGTTACATAGCTAAAATACTATATAACAGCAGAGGAGGTGGAGGTAAGGGCAATAAGGATAGTATCAGGAGAAAAAATGTTCTGAGACTCAGAACATCCAAAATTTACACCCAACTCTGTAAGCTACAAGTGCTCAGCTCGCCTGAAAACAAGCCCATGCATATGCATTCTCATTTTAACCTACAAAAACATTTCAAAATCCAGGCCCTGATCTGGCAAGATGCTGAATGTTTTCTCTTTTCATCAGACAAGCCTCTAAAGAGATACTGAAGCGTGCATACTGTAGGAGCCGAAGCGCAGCCACAAAGGCTAATTTACCCAGCCAAAAAGCAGTCATTGCTGCCACTGCTATGCAGACATACCCACTGCCTTCAGCAAAACTTTAGTGAAGACTGAGGGCACTTGTCACTTCACAGGGAGCACTCAGTGTCTTCCAGGCTCACATTGGGTCTACATATGGATGAGCCGAATATTTTTCACTACAAACACTCTTCCCCTTCCAGGCCTCCTTCGCTTTCAGTTCTGAAGGGTGAATTCATTGAAAACATCTGCACTACTAGAAACATTCTGTGCTTTTTCCAAACCTCATCCCCATGGTGGCTCTGTAGTAATGGAGAATAGCTGCATAACATGAGCCTGCAAGCAATGAACTGCTGTAGGGAGAGGATACCAAATGCTGGAGCTTTGCCTCTGGTACCTAAGCACCACCTGGGCTCTGCTCACCTTCTGCCCTCTGCCATATAGCCAAAAGGCTTCCACAGAAACTGCCACATCCCACTGCACCACTCTTACCTCCGCGATACGGAACACAGCTTAAACAAATTCCACTTAGCAGTCTGTCATGTTGCCTTCTGCACACTTAGGAGTTGCTGCATGCTTCCCCTGGTATCAAGGCCAGTTCTGGAATTAGTTTGGGGATATTTTACATAGTTGCTATTTTTCCTTCTTTCATCATTTTTTCCAATTCTCTTTAACTTTTCAGACTTGCAGCCCTAAAGAAAGGGCTCTGTAACCGTGTCCCAACAGCATAGTAGAGGCATAAATGGGACTGATCCTGTGTCATCCACAAGTGGCAGCAATGTACTGGGCTAAGACAGCAAGACCATGTTTATGGCAGTAAACTTTAATGAGCCACATGAAATCTTCAAACAAGGGAAAGGAAGAGATGTATTTTTGTTTGGGGAATAAGGGATGTGGACCAGCCTTCAGCAGGCCTACCAGGAAGGCATGTGTAAGGGCTTGCGTGGCCATCTGTTTCTCCTCCTTATCAGCACTCCAGTGCCAGCTGCCTCTGTGGCTGAGCCGTCCCACGAGCAGGTCCCCTGCCCGGTCCTGTGCTGCCTCTGTCTACTACACACTAATCCCACACAGCTCTATGAGCTGCTTCCCTATTTGGCCCCACCCCACTGTAAACCCCATATAAATCACAGGGGGGAAGCTGGTGTCTCCCCGATGGTGCCTGCTAGCAGTGCTGCTCCTTTCCCTGAGCAGTTTGTGAGGCACAGAGTGGATGCTGCCCTGGCTTTACTTCCCGTGTTCTTCAGCTGCTGAGCCTCCATTTCCTGCAGTGCCATAGAAGTGTACTCCAAGCCTGAACAACCATGGGATTTATGTTTGCTGACCTAGCACCCACATCCCAGTGCTGCCGTGCCCAAACTGCAATTAAAGCTGCAAAAGCAGCCCAGAAGTCGATACCCCGGATAGACAGGCAAGATAAGAAGCTAATAGCAGATAGACAGGCTGATAGGCGAGTTTGAAAGCTGCAGCCACCTGGGAGCCATGCACGGTGATGCAATCCAGCAGTGGCAGTTGCCAAAGTCGTTCTGACAGCAGAGGCCAAGGGTGGGCAGGGCGCCCGCAGGGGCGCCGGGGAGGGGCGCGGGTCCATCTGCGCAGAGGTGTGAAAACAGCGGAGCCTCGGCCAGGCTCCCTTTGGGGCGTCTCGCAGCGCTGGCAGCACAGCGCTCCACTAAGCCTTGTGCTCAGAGACCATGAACAGCCGGGATTGAAAAAATATGTGCAACCTGGCTAAAGGACAGCAAGCTGCTGGGGGAACGGAAGGGGAGGGCAGGAGAGCGTGGTAGGTTGTGGATATCTGGAGGATACTGACCCCAGCAAGGCTGTGGAGGCCAAGTAAGAGAGCAAGAAATCATCTAGGATGCTGAGTTTTGCATTTCTGTTCCCTGAATGAAATAGTGGATGAAATTAGGAGAAGAACAATGAAACCCAGCCAGGCAGGACAGGCTGGCAGATGGCACTGGCACTTCACCTCCTTTGCATTCCAGCACCTCCATAAGCAGGGTAACAGGGAGGAAGGCATGGAAGCTGCTCCCACAGCTCACCCAAGGCACAGCAGCCAGACCTGACCTTCTCAATTCACTTGCAAAGGTGGAGGGGATCCATCTCTATTGTAGTATCTTTCAGCCCAGGAGGCATGGTCATGGACCAACCACGAACACAATTCAGAGCAAAACAATGATGCCACTCCCCAAAGAATTACCCGTTGATCTAAGTGTATGAGAAGTAACAGCAGTTGGATGTAGTCTCTCCACCAGGGACTTAGAAATTTACAGTGAGTTGCCACAGCACTTTCACTAGCTTTTCAACCTTCTCTTTAACTTTACTGCTTTCCAGCCAACAAATTAGTCTATACAAAAGCCAACACTGGATGCAATTTTCACTTTAACCTACATGTTGAACTTCAATGTCTTCAGTGAACTCAGGGTTAGTGACGGACTGGTGTGGTTTGCAGGATGGGTTTATAAACTCCAATCTGTCCCAGTTTATTACAGACTGTTGTTATTATAGGTCTAATAATAACTTCATAATTTAACTGTTTGTCTCCAAATACAACAGCTATCTCTTACTAGTTCCCAAATATGGCTACCAGCACAGCAGGAGGTGCCTTTGTCACAGACCTCCACATGAAGAAGAAGGATGGTGCAGGACTGACAACTGAATTACAGTGGGAAGTACCTGCTCTTGCTTCAGTGTTGAAGGATCTAGCAGGGCAATGCAGCAAAGGTCACACCATCATCACCAACACTGCCTTCCAGAACTTCCCTTCCCCGGGCTGTCAACTGAACTAGTTATTACAAACCTCTGACTACCTCTTGGAAAAGAATCAGTAGTCTATACAGCATATTTCTTACTTTACTTTTAAGTGGTGATTTGTATTACGAAACAAGGTATGATCCCAGTGTCCTTATGCTAGGTGCTGCAAAAAGGTTTTGGAGATTTTTTTACAAAGGGAACCTAAAAGCTGAAAACAAAAATATTTGGGAAAAAAACGAAATGAAGATGAGATGTTCTATCACTGTATCAAGCCTAAATTCCTATTGAAGAATACATGCTCACTTGAAGGAGTGATTACAGAGCCTACTGGAGTTTCTGTGGATTTTACTGAGGCTGAACACTAGAAATATGAATTATTTGAAACAGAGAAGCTAAAACTTCCTAACCAAACACCCTAAACAATGTGCAAATGTGGATTTGAGTGAGATATGAATTCTGACTGGATCCAGTCCCATGAAGGTCAATCCCATGTCATACAGTACAAAGCATAACTCTAAGATTAAAGAGAACTGAAAATAAATCCTTGTTCTGCTTTGGTAATTTTCATTTATAGAGATGCAAAGTACAAATATTTATAAACAATATTCTTACAGGAATTGAAGGGTATTCCTCCTTTTCAAATAATTACTATTTAAAGAAATTATGAGCTCACTTAAAATGAGAAGCAGCATGTGAGTATGCATAGATATGTTGGAGAAAATAAATATTATTAAAAATAAAATTAGCATTGGAAAACCTCTGCCACTAATCCCAACCATTCTGCCCGGCAAGCTTGAAGGCAAACATGCAAGGAAGTCTCAGATAATGCAGTGATGCAAGATGCAAAAGAATCTGCTTGCTTGGGTAAGATAGAAGATCACTATTTAACACCACTAAGATAACACCTCCAAGTTCTTTTATTTCAGTACTGAGCTAACCTGACTCCGTTTAGCTCACGAAGTGTGTTGGGACTAGATGATGATGAAGGCAAGATAACTGGAGATTAAACTTTACAGATATTTCTGTTCCTGAAATTACTTCCCTTTCTATACTCTGCTAGTGGCTCTGGCTCACAAGTTTCTTATTCCCTCTTAATAAAGTTAAAAATAATGCAACCAGCTAGGATCAGATCCTAAAGTTTTGTTAATCTGTTAGAAGAAAGTAAAATTAATGGTGCTTTTAAAGCCTCCAGAAGGTCAGCAAGAGGTGCATGGAGCACACTGTGACATAGTGTTAAAAGGCAGAAATTCCAGTCCCAGTTTTTTCAGCCACCTTAAGTTCAGAGATACAGAAGGAATCATATACCCACAAAATGCAAATGAAGAAAGGGATGCGATGGACTGCAGGGCATAGGCAGTTACTCAACTGTATAAACAGTAAGTAAGAAGAGCTTATGAGAACAACAGTGGAAGAGGTGCTTTAGAAGTGCAAGGAAATGCAGCTACAAACCCACTGAGCTATCGGTGCTGTCTGCATGCTTGTAGGGTGAGTGTTATTTTGAGGAGGTGAGGAATGCAAGGCAGGGGGTCTGTGGTCTATGGTTTGTTTTCCCATCAATACATATGTCTGACTTCGAGTAAAAGATTAACGAGACAGCTAGCAAATGTCCTAGGAGACAAATGGGTAAAAGGCTGTTTGTACATGTCAGTTGAGGGAGGGCTCATTCTCGTCTCTCAGTCTCTGAATGAATCTGCTAGGATGCACACCTGCACCAGGAAGACTTCCTTGACAAGGTAACCCTTTCCTCTGCAGAACACATGAGCATATCAGCATATAGCTTACCTTACACGTACATTCTTTCAGTCAATGTGGTTTGGAAAGAACCTTCCACCTACTTTTTTTCTGCATGTGACGTACATTACTGTATGTTACAGAAAAGCCCCAGGTAAAGTAAATGGAAACTCTATCCAGAAGCTATGCACCTGGTGTTTTTGCATTTCCCAACAGATATTACAGTTGCTGGAATGATGTGTGAATCTTCTACAACACCTCCTATTGACAATTTATTTTAGGTGTGGCATGAGAGAGATCTAAGATATTGATACTAATGACCCACAGCCTGTTGCTAAAGAGAAGGAAGAAAGGAAGTGAGGGAATTTATAGTCAAAAAAAGAAAAAAAGAAAAAAAAAAAGCCAAACTATAAAACCCCACAAATATTTACATCCTACTACTTTTGACAACAACCATTCTATCACAGACTGAAAACACTGCAAACAGGCATGCTGACACTTCAATATTTCCAGGATGGTCATGGCAGTGGGAAGAACTACTAGACTGTCACTAAAGCTCACCTTTTCTAGGTATCAAAAACTGTTGTGTTTTCCTGTCCTGTTGGCAATCTGTGCTACTGGTGATCCCTCAGAGTTGATGGTGTAATGGTGTTGGCCTGAGTCCCACTGCAAAGAATGCAGTGGCGCCCAGTCAACCACCAGTACTAACCACAATCTCCCTGCAGATCTTAACTAACCTGGCAGCTCAGCTTTGTGTAGTAATGCCACAAAAAAATGGGAGTGCCTTTTCCTTTCCTCACTATCCTCCTTTTTTTGGTCTTTTTTGCTCTTTTCTGGAAAAGTCTGAGGGAGTTGAGCAGATTCCCTAATGAGAGAAGTGACCCACCACTTTTAACACTGTCGCAGCCTTCAACATCTCTTAAGTTCTGATTTCTGCTTTTACCTGAAACCTGTCAAGTATGAGTCACATCCATTTCCCTTATGCCATGATAGGGAGGAATGCTGATATGTGGGAACTGACAAAGAAGCGTGAGGGAGCCGATGTTCACCTCTTAAACTTGACGAAATTTGCTGGTGAATCACAGGGTAAGAACTTGACCTCACCCATGAAGTTTCATGAAGATGAAAAGAACTTCCTTGTACCTCCTTGCTGTGCCTCTGACTACCAGATTTGTTGTCTGGAGATGAGCAGTTAAACCACTCCACTAAGCTCAAGGAGAATGAGTTCAAGTCTTGTCAAGGGCAATCTTTGACAACCCAGCTCAAAATAACATAAGTTATCCCTTTTGATGAGTCAAGAACAACCAGTCCCTCTATTGAGCATATCAGACAGATGTGATTGGCTGAGGAAAGGAACATACTGAACCATCCCAGGCCCTTTTATATCAGTGACACTGAATATATTTTGGTGTGAGAAGTTTGAAGTTTTGAATGAGAAGGTGATATTGCAGGAAATTAGTCCTCAAGCAATGTTTTTATCTCAGTTAAGTCTGACAGCATGCAAGCAAGCACAGGATAAGCTTATCCAAAAATGCTGAGAAATGTTAGAAAACTGTAACACCATCTACAACTACTCCTGAAAAGCAGGAAAAGGGGACACCATTAAATGAACATGCTTTGCTATGAAATGAACAGCCTTCTGTAGGCAGGATCCTTAGTCACCTGGGGATTGAAATGATCCTAATACTTAAGCTTTCTTTGCACTCCTGACTGCAGCTCTTGAACTGAGAATCTGGCCTATAGTCACTGCCAGGGTGCTGTGTCCCTCCTCCCTAAGAGTGCTGCCAGAATGCAGAATAAGACATATGTTGGTCCATCCTGTACTGTACTCTTACTTCTATTTTTTTCCTTCTTTGCAGCTGCAAAATACAACTGAGCAAGTTAAATTCCACTTCCCTTGAACACGGAAACCAGCAGTGCATTTTGTCACATGGTCACATCAGCAGACCACAACAACAAGCTCAGTCACCTGGTGAAACAATCCACACAGAGATTTGGAAGGAAAATTTCCTTCAGGCAGGTGACACTGGACATCTGGCAGTCCTCTACTTCTGTTCTGAGAGCAACACCCACGTTGTAGGGCATGCTGCCAGAAGCTGCACCCACCTGGGATGTAGCCAGCCCAAGATGAAAGGGAGCACCAAATCCAGAAGGGATGATTAGCATTCACTGATGTTGTTCAGGACACAAGTACCTGGGAACATGCTAGTTCCCCCTAGGTGTTCAGTACTGCACTGAAAAGTCAGGGAACTAAGAAAGGTAATCAGGTCAGAGCCAGGCTTGCATATGTTTTCTCCACAGGAATTACAAACTATTTGCCAAATATTCAGATTGGGTAATTGCTACCCAGACTGCTAAGGATACGCAGCCCAAAAGAAGATAATTGCTCAGAGGTTCTGATACATTGCATCACTCTCTGCCAAAGTATATGACAGAATGAGAATTATCAACACATAATGTAAGGATACAAGCATGCGCATACAGCAGAGCTGAACCCATCAGCTGGCTGAAGCAGAAAAACATCAACTCCCAGACTGTTCATAAGAAAGCAATAATTTGATCCTGAACTCCAGAAGCATTTGTGGAATCCAGAGATTCCCTGAAATAACCTTCCCTTTCTTAGGACATGGGGACAAGCATTTATCCCTGCTCTCTCTAAAATGTAAATTTGACCAAAGCTAATTTTACCTCAGTTTCTAGCTATGAGATCATTGTTCTACTAGCATACAAGTTTAGTCTCACACTGCCATATATTTTATGAACAAATGCAACTTGGAGCAGAGCCTGTACTGTCCATCAAGGGTGCTGCTGTGTGATAAAAAAAATCCATCGTCCTTTGTATTTAACTATAAAGCTTTGTTGAAAATCAGACTACTTGTAGCAAAAATCTTTAGGTACTAGTAAGATTAGGAAATAGAAAGACTAGGCATCCAAAATACTGCAACCTAATTGTATGTGAGAGTATGAGATTCCTGAAGCATTTCAGAGACACATTTCTTCTCTGCAACCAAACAGCAATATAATCCAGAGAAGAGAACAGATATTTATTCAAATTTTCACTATTTCAGTCAGTCATGCATACAGTGCTGACTCAGGAGCAAACATTAAAAAGCAGGAGCCGTGTGGGAACTTAGAAATCTAATTGTACATCTCCCAAGGGGAATCATTACAACAGTGTCAAACAGGCCTTAAGCAGGAGGAATGGATAGGTGGGGGGAGATCTGACAGCAGGGGAAACAGTACTGGCAGAAAAGGCCCCCATAACAACAGGTACACACACAGCCTTTGGACTGAGGCTTTAAGGAGAAAACAGATAGTCCATTTTAAAAGTAACTAAAGAAGACATGGTACGAATATAATAAGGAAAGAGATCACATTGAAATATCCAGTGCAGGCCTCACTTCTGTGTGCCATTAGGAGATTATACTCCTCCTTGTTTTCTTAGGTTTATAACTGAAATAGTTAATTATAGACATTACTGCAAACAAGCTAATAAACTCAAAACTGTATCTCTAACAAAATTGGAAGATGACAAAATTATTAGGGCTTATTCAAGGTATACACTTAGCCATTGATGAAATACTAATTAAAGGTTGCCTTCAGTACCTCCAGAAAATGGCTATTCAACACAACAAGGGTGTTTTGCCTAATTGTGCAACATAGTTTTATTTTACTATGCATAGTAAAATAGCCCAAAATGTTAGTGTAAAAAGATCACAGAACTTTAGTGATGGGCTGAAACTTAGGAAAAGCATGTGTATATTAATATCTGACTTCAGAAAACATGCAAATCACTTCACTAACACTGTGTTTGTCTTATGTATGAGATAATGGACAGTCAACAGCCTTTCTTTCATTGTTGGGTGGCTCATCAAATTAGTGTCTAAATTAAGGATCTGATTAATCTGTATTGAATAGCTTGTCAGTATAAGTAAAATCATTGCAAATTTAACATAATCACATTTCGGGAGGGGAGAGGGGTGTTGGGATTTTTTTTCTTATTACCATTAAGAATAGGGATTTTTATCAATGCCCAAATCACAGCTCCCTTAAACTGGGAGGTTTCAAAAATTCTGATTGTGTACCATGGCTTTCTCTCCTACATATAAAAAAAAATTTGCTTCTTTATCTATTGTGAAAATATCTTTTTTCTTGAGACAGGAACTACAAATTCCACTCCTCCCATTCACACGAAAAAGAACATTACTCCCTAAACAGCACCACTTTATCCAAAACAAACAGCAAGATATCTAAAATATACTTTCGTTTACTCAGGGATGTCAAGAGACAGAGTACCTCCTTCTTGAAACAAAGGAAGGAGAGAGGGTGGATTCAAAAGGGCTGTAATCAAAAGAATCTAACTCATCTCCAAGTACCATGGTCAAATTTATGACTGTTTCCATAGAAAAAAGATGTGTCAGAAGGACATCCTGGGTTGGAATGCGGTAGAATTGATTCCCACAAGCCCAGGAATGTTGCTGGGTTTTATGATAGAGTTGTTAATCTTTTAATAAAGTAACTTTTGAATATATTTTGCACTCAGTGATGAGCTCTACTAGCAGTGACCCCAGTGTGAGCAGCCCTCCCCAGTAACAAGGCTGTGGAAATATTGCTGGAGGCAGGTCTTGCATAGCTTTCTTTTGTCTCTCCACTTAAGCTTTGCAGAAAGATACTACCAGAAGCACAGAAAGGCCATAAAACTGAAAACATAATTTTAAATCAAAAGGCTTTTAGTGGTTGTCTTAAAGGGCTATCTGTGTTCCCAATAGTGACTATAGCAATTACATGATGAAAACATCTAGGCAGGTGCATAATTTAAAAAGAAAAAGGCCATCCTCCCCCTTTAGGAGAGGTCAGGCTTTATATTTCAGTAGGTCTGTTTGGCTAACAAAGGAGGAAAAAATGAGGACAGAGTGAAAGGAAGAGTGGAGCAGGATAGAAAAAAAGATGAGAGAAAAGAAAGGGCAGCAGAAAAAACAACCGGGAAGGAGGATGAAAGAGGAGGATGACATCTGACTGGGACAAGGGGTGAACCACGAAGCTAGTCATTGCCAGTGTCCAGGACAAAAATAACTCCTTTGTCCAGCAGCTTCAGGGCAGCTGCCAGTGCAGCAGGACAGCATCCCCCCCACACTACTCTGCCCAGCACATCCCCAGCCCACTTCCAGATCTGCCCCTTTCCCTGTGCTGTGTGGCAGAACTCAGTGTGTTCTCGCAGTCCCTGTGGTTGTGGTTAGGAAACTGCCGCATGATGGGTCTCAATAGAAAAAGTATTTTAATACAAGAAAAACAGGAAACTCAAGCACGTTTTGAGTCTAATTCAATTTCAGTTCCGTGATTCCTTTATTTTCTATGGACAAAAGGCATGTAACAAAATTATGAACTGGGACGTGAAGAAAGCAGAACTGTGCACATGACAGATAAAACTGGCTCATTATGTGAAAACTGAAGCCATGCAAAATAAAAAAGCAGAGCAGATTAGAGCACCTCTCATCCAAAAACCAGGACCAGTCAAGCACATCCCAGCACCTGGACAGAGTTTGAGCAGAACATATATGAATTGGCACAGGTCACAGTTTCACAAGAGGAGACCAGGTTATGAAGAAATGCAAATATTCCTTCTTAATTTTAAGCTGAAAGCCACCTCTGGTTTAGGAATCTTCAGAGACAAGGTACAAGGTACCAGTTCAATGTCAGCTGCCTCACACTCTCTTTGCAATTTCATCAGTGCATTTTAGTGCTAATGTACTAAAGCATGACACTAGCTAAAGATAACCACATTCTATTGAGAAACATAACAATAGAAATAATGGAATAAGCAGTTCATGCAATTTGCTAGGAATGTAGTTTGGACACCAACAGCCAAAACAAACTAAAATGGCAAATGCAAGGACTCTATTTTGAAAAGATCTGCAAACAGACTCAGCAGCTTTACAGGGGGTCATATTTTCCACAAGGATAAACTGTCCTTGAACAATATTTCCAGTGTTCTGGGTATTAACCTGCTTTCTTTTCATATGGATTGTTCTCACCTACACTCCTTTTCCTTGAACAAATATTTACTGTGACCAATAAAATTCTGCTCTCCATTTACGAGTTAAATAGCATTGCATTCCCACACGCTGCTTTATATATGTATGCTTTATATACAGTGAGCATACGTGCCCACAGAAAATGACATCTCCAAACGACGTCTGGTGGAATTATTTTTAAGCAATCATATTCACTGTAGATTTCAGTCCTGATTCATCAATACATTTAATTCGCTGTGGTATTAGATCTGTGAGCAAGAGGAATGAAACATTCAGCTCAAGGAAGAAGGTGACATATTTCACCAGCGATAAAGCATTACTGTGAGTATGTGAAAGAGTGATGCCTGATGCATTGCTCATAAGCATGAGAGTAAACACATCATCTGCACAGGGAACTAGTGACATGTCTAATTTAAAGAAAGCAACGAAAAGTATTTTTAGTGAATTATTCATACACTTCTAAATGTGTACAGGAGTTTTAGCAGGTCAAAATGGACAAATTACAGCCAGCAAGATGCCAGCAGTCTGTAGGTGATAAGCATGCTGGACTACAACCTACTACTGTTATTCATTCATTATTCAACTATCATTATTTGCTACTCATTGTCTTGAAAATTTCAGTAAACAAGTCAGAAATAGAAAGAATCCTTAGATGTGAACCACAAACATCCAGCACAAACTATGTATGAAGAAAAAGGGTGAAAATTTCACAGGTTAGCATATATAAACGGAACATATCACTTAAGCCTCTTTTCTACCCGGGTGACAGACCCTCAGCACACCAGGGTCCCACCAGTGTCTGTGCTGTATTTATATAGCTTTGGGGAAGTCAGGGGCTCTGCTCCACATGCAGGTCCTTTTTGCAGAATTCCCCTCCAGGGGCACAGGGGTGAAGAGGAACACATCTCTCATGAACACCTGCAACCAGCAGTTCCTTCCTCAGACACTTAAATAGATTTTCCTCACACTACAGTAAAACAAGATACTGGCTGTTCCCCTTCATACACCCCAAAATACAAAAAGTTGTACTGACAAGAAAGAAGGTGAGAGCTGCAGCAGGTTAATCTGGGATGGAAAAGTAGAGCTATGCTGGACTTGGGTTTCATTTGGAAATTCCAGTCTCTCTGCAGTGCCCCCCAGAATGGGCTGAGGTTCAGACTGCATAGCATGCCTTAGCTCTATTACAAGCACACTGATATACCTCATTTAGAACTGTTCCTAGTCTTACAGATCTCTCTCAAGTCTTCTGCGACTAGTGGTATCTGACAGAGTTCAATGCTGCACCCAGTATTGTTTGACTTACTCATCAATGACCTGGATGAAGGGGCAGAAGCCTCCTCAGGAAGTTCCCTGATGACACAAAGCTGTAAGGAATGGCCAATACCCCAGAGGGCCGTGCAGCCCTTCAGAAGGATCCCAACAGGTTGGAGAGATGGGCAGAGAGGAACAGTTTCAAATTTAACAAAGGCAAATGCAGAGTCCTGTCCCTGGGGAGGAATAACCCTGGGCACCAGCACAGGCTGGGGCTTGCCTGCTGGGATGCAAGTGCCAAGAGGATGGACCAGGCTCTTCTCAGAAATAGGACAAGAGGCAACAGGCAGAAACTGATGTACAGGAAATTCCCCCTCAATATGAGGAGCAACTTCTTTAGTGTGCAGGTGACTGAGCACTGGAACAGGTTGTCCATAGAGGTTATGGAGTCTCCCTCACTGAAGATACTCAAGAACTGTCTGGATGTAATTCTGTGCAATGTGCTCTAGAGTGGCACAAACTTTAGCAGGGATTTTGGACCTGATGACCCACTGTGATCCCTTCCAATCTAACCCACTCTGTGATTCTGATCTTTACAAAAGAGGTTCAGTGGCCACAGACTATCTGAGAGACCCAGTTGGATGTCTCTTGGTGGAGAAAGAGGTGCACCCACACAGGCAGCAACATGAATAGATGATGTATGGTGTCCTAATAATT